ATAATTAACAAAAATGAAAAATAAAGGTAGAGTTTATAATTTAAAAAAATAAAATAGAAATAGAAGTAGATGGAAGACTCTGGATGTTGGGTTTAAAACAATTCATCGTCTCTTTTCTTCACATTTCAACACCGAGTCGAGAGAGAGAGAGAGAAGAACAGCAGGAGGAGACTTCCGATTTGAAGATCTGGGTTTGAAGAACAGCAGAAGAAGCGCACCACCGTCCGGAGACGATCGAAACGGATTCGGACGGATTCGGTTCACGACATTTTCACCAACTTGAATCGCAATATCTGAAGAAATCGATGTTCGCGAACGAATCGTCTTTGATTCGGTGAGTTCGATCTCTGATTTCTCACCAAAAGAAGAATGTGATTCAGAAACATTTTGGTTTGAAATCTGGTTTTTTTGATTATGTGTTCTTCAATTCACAATTGTATGTTGAGAAATGTTTACGTTTTACATCTGGTTTTTTTGATCTGTTCTGAATCTTACCTGGAATTTGTATTCCTTCGCTATCTTTTTGTTCATCTGGTTCTTGATTGGTGTCTTGTTTATGATAAATGAGGAACTCCATTCTGAATCACTTTCTTGAATTTGTTTGTGTGGGTTTTGTTCAATTAATAAATTTATATTGTTCATTCTTGTTTAAGGTCTCAGGAGGAGATCCAAACCACATCCCATCCAACCCAATATTATTCAATCATCCAACAAATTAAAAGAAACTATTATGGATCCATAAACGTAAGTACTCTCTCTCTCTCTCTCTCTCTCTCTCTATATATATATATATATATGTAATGCAATGTGAGGTTGATCATCATCGTCTTTAATAATCAATCTTGTTTTAGTTTAGGGCTTCTTTTCTGATTCTTTATATGAATCTTGATCATTCATCATCAACGTCTTCTTTTTCTTTATCTGAATCTTGTTGTTTTGTTTAAATCGATGCTTTGGTGGAAGGGGGTTTTATTTTGTTTCTTAAAAAAAAAATTATAACAAGTTTCTAATTTTATTTTGTTGATTATAAATTACTTTTTTAATACAAATTTAAATCTATAGAATTTAATTTTGTTTTGTTTTTATAGTTCTGGGTCCTTGTTTTCATCCTTTATACACAATTTATTTAATGAAATATTTTTGGTATTTGTTAAATATGAATCATACAAAGGATTTATATTTTTAAATTTCATTAATTAATATTTTTCAGTGTTTAATATTTACATTTTCTTAAAATCAAAGTTTAGAGATTATAACTATATCTATATCTATACTATCTTATAAAGCATTTGGCTAAAACTCTTAAAAACCCTTAACAATTTCATCCATATCTAATTTCATCCCATATCTGAATTTATGTAACTAACTGCAGATAAACACAATCAAATATAAAATAAACATCTCATTTTAAATATAAAAAATCTAAAATATAATTAATATAATCATTAAATTCTAACATAATACTTAATTATTATCTCTGTTTATTAATGCATATTATTTAAAACTCAAGATTACAAGTAGATTGTGCGTAAATACAACTTATTAAAGCTCCATATATGAATTCGTGTAACTAATTGCAGATAAACATAATCAAATA